TTATTGTTGTAAAAGTGAGGGTTTTGTTTTTATCCTGAGTAAAAGATACATGGCACATAGCTACAGACAAAGTGTACCCACACATTTCTGTCCACTTAAAAGGAGGAAGGCTAGACACCAGGTGCATGTGAGCTCGCTAATCCTCTGCTTTAGGAAACCAATCAGCATTGTGTGCACACGGTGCCCGTAACACCTGCAGACAAACTCTTCACACACAGAATAAAAATAAGTTAAACAGAAAAGAAAATTGTCTGTGGTCCCCTGCTTCTGCCAAGCTCTTCCTGCCCAGGCAGTTGGGAGACTTCTGTGGGGTAGGTTGGTCTGGGATATTGAGGCCTGTGGGTGTGTATTAATTTTCTTCGAAGTCAGGAGATTCATGACTCTTGGATTTGGAGGCTGAGAATACCCAGCTCTTAAAAAGAGGTTTGCAGCCCCGTGTTCCACTTTGCCCGGGAAGGGCCACTCATTCTGGCTTCGTGAAGATGGTAATAGCTCTCTGGGGGACGTGCCAGTTGAACCAGCCAGTTGGCTCGAGAATGGCTTCTTTGAAAGCCATAGGCCAGGACTTGCCTCGGTGCCAGGGCCCACCTTCCCAGAAGGCACTGCTGTGTGCATCCTCCTGGAGGGAGGGCTAAGGCAGCCACATCTTCCGCGAGGGCCTTGGGGACAGAGGGTGTCACTTAGGGAACCAGACAGCTTGTCAGTTTTCATCCTCACGAATGCAAACCCATCTGCCATTCATTCTGATAGGCACCCCGGGAAACCTTGTGGTAAACACAAGGGGTGCCTTGCTTCAGATGAAGAGCAAGCAGCATTGCTTTGGAGAGAAGACAACTGTTTAGAGCTTTTCAAAGGGCGTTGCCATGCCCTAGGTTGTGGTTTTGAGGGAGAGACGGCTTTCAAAGACCTCCCCTCTCCCTTAATTCCTGTAAAATCAGTGTTGTTACTCTGTTTTGAGACATGTAAGGAAGGCCTCAGCTTCTGACCCATCCTCCACCTCTAAAGTGCAGGGATATTCAGGAGAGTGCCACCATGAGTGGCCCCACCATGAGCGGCCCCACCTTCATTTTGACCCCCCATAGAAGCACGCTTTCTTGTTCTCTTTTGGTCACACTGTGATTGCAGCTTTTTCCTTGTAGGGCAGTAGAAGAGGAAACTGTTTTGTGGTGCACAGACAGCTGAAGAACGACCGTACTGGGGTGGGGTGTGCTGTGCTGCACAGACCTGGTGCATGTTGGGGGTTTAGCAGCATGCTGGAGACTGTTGCATTCGGTGGGACTATGTATCATAGTTGTATCGGCGCTTACTGTTGACTTTTTATGTTAATGACTGAATGGCTCCGATCTAGGGGAGATTTTAAAAAGCAAGATGGTGTGATCTCAGTAGATCACATAGAAGTTAAGGCTCTAGGAGGCAATATGGCTGTTTCTTTGCCTTTTGTTTGTCGTTTGTATGCAGGCATGTATGCTTGCATGTAGATACATATGCGTGGAGGTCAGAGGTCAACTGCGCATGGTTCTTCGGCAGCCCTCCCTCCACCTTGCTTTTAGAGACAGTCTTTCCCTGTGGGGCTTGGGGTTTACTGATTCTGCCAGGCTGAGTGACTTGCAAGTCACAGTATCTTCCTGTCTAAAACTCTGGGATTACACTCTCTCGTCACCATGCCTGGCTTTTTACATGGGTGTTGAGAATGGAACTCAGTCAATACCCTACTGACCAAGGTATCTCTGAAGTCTCTCTGTCTCTCTGTCTCTCTCTCTGTGAGTTTTTAAAAAAGATTTTTAAATTTTATTTTAGATGTATGTTTTGTCTGAATGTATGTTCATGTATCATGTTCATGTCTAGTGCCCGAGAAGGCCAGAAGAGGGTACTACAGACCCTGGAGTTACAGATGGGTGAGAGCCACGATATGAGTGCTGGGAATTGAGCTGGGTCCTCTGTGAGAGTATCCTATACTCTTAACTGCTGAGCCAGCTCTCCAGACCTTCTTGGCATTTTCTAGGAGTTAGGTTGTTTTTCAGGAGTTGGTGGTGAACTCCTTTAATGCCAGAACTCAGGAGACTGGGGCAGGCAGATCTGCAAGTTCCTGGCCAGCCTAGTCTACATAGTGAGTTCCAGGCCAGCTAGGGCTATATAGTGAGACCCTGCCCCCCCCCCAAAAAAAAAGTTTGCTTTTCTTCAGAGATTATTATTTTGGACTCTTAGAGTTATAGTAAGTACCTGGAATGAAGACAGGAATAACAAAATGTTAAAGGTGGAATTATGTCCTTTAAAGCTGCTCCTGCTGATTTTTATTTGTTTGTTTGTTTTTGAGACAGGGTTCCCTTTGTGTATCCCTGCATGTCTTGGCACTTACTTTGTAGACTAGGCTGGCCTCAAGCTCACAGAGATCAGTCTGGTTCTGCCTCCTGAGTGCTTGGATTAAAGGTGTGTATCACTATCCCTGGCTCAAAGCTTGTGATTGTTGACTGGTTTTAAACTGTGAGAGATTGTCAGCTAACGCCCGGTAGCCTTTTGGGAAGGAGCATTAAGTTTGTCAAAAGCATTGAAGGGCTGGGGTTTGTCTGGTTCAGCAGTGGGAAGTGGGTGGGTAGAACAGGCCTAAAAGGACTTTAAACCCCTCAGGAAAGTTTTAGAAACAAGCCCCCAATAGACTACTTGAGGAATAGCATGAGTGTCACTGATTCTTGCGGCCCCTCTGGCCAGTCTCTGCCATTTGAACCTCTACAACTCCCACCTGTGCTGCTGTGGCGTTGTGAAGGAGAAGGGCGGGGCCGGAGAGATGCAGTTTGTGTTGTCGGCAGTTGTCTGCAAGTCATTACTGCCAGGATTCCTGATCACTTTGAAAGGTCCGTTTCATTCCTTAGCCTGTGTCAAGAGAGTAATAGCTGCACGCGACCGACAGATGAGAGATGAGTGTTCGAGCTGGAGGAAATGCACAGTGGGAAGCGGTCAGTCACTTTCCTAAAACCTCAGGCAGGCATTCAATTCTGCAAGCAACATTTGGCATCTTAAAATTTCCCCATTAGGGAAAAAGGAATTCACGGGACAAATATTTGCTAGTTAGGTTTTGTATTGGACAGACTTTGTACCTTGGCATGTGAGCGGCCATCAGAACCTCTTGAACTTTTGCTACCAAGTAACTATGAAAAGCCTCATAGAGCCAGCGCTGATCGTGGATGAGCGCACCATGTCCCTTGCATGAGTCAAGGTACTTGCAAAGTCAGGTGGGTGACAAACCCAGCACGCCCCAGAATGGGAGCCAGAGAACTACAGGCTCCTTCCGAGACCAGGGATGGATCCCAGATGGTCTTGGAGCGCTTGGCTTTTCCCCTAGAACGCGCTATTGTCTTAGGAATTTAGTGTAGGGGAAATGACCCAGATTTTATACTTAGGAAGAACACATATCCAGCTCTCCAGTGGACCATTCTGTTGGGGAGACTTCTTGACCCTGTTTACTCCTCTGGGAATATGGGAGCAAGGGTCTCCAGACCTGTTGGGAGATGCTAAGACCTTAGAGGGGAGTAAGATCTGTCGGGCACTGAGTAGGACTTCAATTTGTACCAGTTTCTTCCTACTGTCAGAGTTTAGCTTTTTACATAGAATAATCAGAGTTTATTGTCTCGGTTCTGTTTTGGGTTTGGAAACAAGACCAGTTTATTGAAACCAACAGGCTGATACAACAACCTTCTTCTGTTAAGTGCCTGTTGCCTGAGAGGTCCCAGGTGCAGGGGCAAGCAGGTTGCAAACTCTGGCCAGCTTCTGAAACTGGCGAGCTCTTGACTCTGGTAGATTTTGAGTCACCTGCTTACTTTTTTACAAATTAAAAAAAATTACAGTTATTTATTTGTATGCATGTGGACATTTGTGTACCAAGGCACTCATGGAGGTCAGAGGACAAATTATGGAAATTGGTTCTCTCCTTCCACCTGTAGGCCTTGGCGAGTGTCTTTACTGCCGAGTCACCTCCTCCGGCTGCATTCCTCCCTCCCCCCCCCCCCCCGTACGCCTTAGTTTACTGCTCCGAAATCTCTTTAAGTCAGAGCCAGCCTGTAAAAGAGACTTGTCACCAAGCCTGGCCAGACCACCTAAGTTAGAGCCATGTGGTGGAAAGGGAGCACTGACTCTGAGCAGAGTCCTCAGACCGGCACACGTGCATCGCAGTACGCATGCGCCGCCCACCCTTACCCCCCCCCGCCATAAATGAATTTTTAAAAAATTTAAAAAATAGAAAAGGAAATGAAGTCGGAGTTTGATCAAAATGAACGTGATGTCAGAACTTAAGAACTTTTCTGTGATTCGAAATCATTTGGAACAAAAGTTTACGGTTATGTTGCGGGGGTTGGGGGCGTGTATCTGGTAAATGGACTGACATCCGTGGTCTCCACGGAGACCCTAGGAGGAACTCAGCATATTTGCGGGGTGCCCCGCAACCCCACCCCGACTCCGTGACAGCTCTACTGCGGCAGCTGTGCGCACGCTTCTCTTTTTGAGTCAGCACCAGACAAGTAATTTCCCATCCTGAAGCTCCCTGCTGCGAGTGCTGGGATCTAGCTGCTAACTTCCCAGATTTGCATACTTGCAGCCTCCTCTCCCCTGGCAAAGCTCGGGTTTTGCCTGTATACCTTCCCGGAGGTGATTCTTCTCTTGGGAGGCGGAGGCTGGACCGGGAGGTGAGGCAGGAGGGAAGCGAAGACTGAGTGCGGGCTGCCCACCCCGAGGGAGCCTGGAGCGTAGTGGAGTCGGCGGCGGGGAGGTGCGCCCTGCAGCTCGGACTGGAGCGCTGGACCGGAGCCGCGGCCGGCAGGGGGAGGCCAGGCCCCGGGAAGCGAGCCGGGTGGTGCGGACCCCGGGGCCCGCGCGCGGGGCCATCGCGGGCTAGATGGCCGGTTATGCAAGCCGCTGCCCCCTTGCTAGCCCACCCGCTTGCTCGCTCGCTCGCTGGGCGGCTGCTCCGCGTTCCCCTCGGCCAACACACTCTCTCGCTCTTTTTGAAACAGGAAGTGCACTGCTGACTGTAACGTGCTGCTGGCTCCCAGGATGGAGGAGTGAAGTCTCGCGTCGCAGCGGTTCCAGCCTCCGGAGCCCGCCCGTCAGCAGCCAAGTCCTCGAGAGCACCCTGAGGGAGCAGGGTGGCCACCTGGTCCAGGTGCGCGGGCCGGGGCGGGAAGGCGAGGGGTCTTCGCTCGCAGGGACTTTCTTGATCGCCTGTCCCTGCCACTATGTCCTCCTCCAGGAGTCCCTACCACTTTGTTGCCACCGCCCAGGTGTATGGGACGGGGCTGGAAAAGGGCAGCGCGGATTGGGGACCTCTGGATGCTCCCCTAGATTGGCGCTCTCCAGGCTGGGCTGGCCCCTGGGCTACCCTGCGACTGTCTGGGCGGCCTCCTGAAGTCCCCAGCTGCCCTCACTACCCTCTCCAGCTGCTGCCCTGAGCAGCTGCTCTTTGTTCCTCTCTCGCTGGCCTGAGGTTGTCTAAATACCGTCCTGGGAAGCTTGGGACTGTTGGGTGTCACTGAAGTTGGTTTGAGGGAGAAAGTGGAGAAGGAAGGAGGAAGCTGATGGCTCTGGGTGAGGAGGAGTAAGGGAAGCTTGACAGCTAGGCTGGGAACCAACCGAGGAGGTGGGTTGCTTGTAGAGCCAGGCCATCACAAATTGAGAGAATTGGTAGTGCAGACACACAGGCCAGAGAAGTAGGGACCACAAGTGAGCGACAGCAGTTAGTTCTGAGGTGTTTAGTCTGGTGTCTGGCTCCTTACCTCTGCTGTGGTTTCACTCTGTGGAAACATGGAGCTTTATAAATATGAGCCAGACACTCTTAATTTATTAAATTCCAGTTGTCACCAAGCTAAAATAGAGATTGACTTTTCTCATACTCACGGGGCGGAAAGAATTCCCTAGCCATGCCTTGTTTGGTTCCAGATGTTAGCAGGAGAGCAAAATGCCTGGGAACAGGTGGGTTTATACTGTAGACTTCACAACTTCATTGCTGAAGATGCTCTTCCTCTGTGGACTTAGGTTGGCTTCTCCTTCACTGAAGGAGACGACCTGGCGTTACTTGATGGTCCCTGTTTCTCCCCGGGAAATGGCTGTGTTGAGAAGGGTCACTAGGGAGCCACCTTGGCTGAGAAGGGCTGGTGGGTTGGTTATTAGGACAGGTTCAGTGTGTGAGCAGCGGACAAAACAGTCTCGACCTCTTACTTGTTTTGGAGGCTGCAGTTTGAACAGGTGACAGGAGGGAAGTGCTTCAGCCCAACGTCTTTGGGGGCAGCCAGGCTTTCTCAAGAGGCAAGCTGATGACCGAGTTCAGATCCATGCAGCTCAGAGCACAGTCTCACCATGTAGTCTCGAGTGGCCTGGAGCCCAGAGGTTTCCTGGCCTCTATCCCCCAAATGCTGGAATCAAAGATTTGTAACTCCACACACACCCAGTCTAATTATATCATTCTTATCCTGAGGATGTTACATCAAAATATATTTTTGCATAATTAATTTTTTCCTTTAAGAGAAGCTTTCAGCTATGCCAATAAGTTTGTGCGCACCTTCTTTTCCATATCAACAGTTTGGAGACAATTTCAATGATAATATCTCCTTATTTCGATGATTCTTCAGATTAAACATTTTTATCCTATTTATTTATTTTGTGTGACTCATATGGCACAGCACATGTGGAGGTCTGAGGACAAGTGGTTGGAGTCATGTGTCTCCTTCCATGTGGGTCCCCGGGATCAGTTCAGATCATCAGGCTTGGTGGCAAGCACATTTATCTGCTGAGCCACTTGGCCAGTCCCAGAACATGAATGTCTTTAAAGATAGGTGTTTTGAGAACCTTAAAAATGTTGGCAATTGGTATAATATAGCAACAGTAGCCAAAATATTTTTTTATGGCCCGAGCAGTTAATTTCCTCCTTGCTGCCTTGACTTGGGTTTGAATTGAATTGTATATTATCTGTATTTATGCCTCTTCTTCCAGATACACCGTAAGGATAAAAGCAAACCATCCAAGCTCCTACCTCTTCCCTTTCTCTCCTTTTTCTTCTGCTGAGGATTGAACTCAGGACCTTGTGTGCGCTAAGCAAACAGCCTTCCATGCAGCTATACTTGATTTCACAAAGAATATTTCTGAAGGATGCACATGGCGGTTATTTTTCATATTTTTTATTCAAGTGTATGCGCTGCCCTCAGGTTTATTAATTGCTTAGTACTGTGTTTGTATCTGTTTGTCACTCTGCTTTAAGGTATGGTGAACTAGTTTGCTGACCCTCTGACGGGGTATAGTCCCACCTCAGTGGAGTTGGGGTTTTTTGTTTTGGTTTTTAAGATTTGTTTTATTTCATGCATATGGGAATTTTGCCTGCATGTATGTATGTATGTAAACCATGTGTGTGCCAGGTGCCTGTGGAGATCAGAAGAAGGCCTCAAAGCCCTTGGAACTGAACTTAGAGACAGTTGTGAGTCAGTCACCATGTGGCTGCTGGGAATTGAACCTGGGTCCTCGAGAAGAGCAGCAGTGCTCTTAACTCCTGAGCCTTCTCTCCAGTCCCCTCAGTAGAGTTTAAACTCAGAAGTAATACAGCCTTTTAGGTGTTCTTATCTGTTTGCAGGGCTACTTTCTGTATCTTACCTGTAATCAATTGGTTCTGGCAACTGCGAGGTGAAACAGTCCGTGAATGGACAGAAAACTAAAGTCCACAAGAGCGTGTCAGGGGCTGTGTTAGCCAGTGGAGATGCTGGGTCAGATGGGGGCCGATGGAGATGGTAGGTCTTAGACAGGGGCCGTATTAGCCAACGGAGATGCTGGGTCTTAGAAGGAGTCATGTTAGTCAACGGAGATGCGGGGGGGCGGGGGCGCTTAGACAGGGGCCATGTTAGCCAATGGGGATGCTAAGTCTTAGACTGGGGTCTTAGATTTTTGACCCTCTGGTAGTCTGGAAAGCTGCTGTCTCAGGAAGAGAGAGCAGTGCTAAGTTAGGTGGGCCTTTGTCAATCCACAAAAGGAGCCTGCACCCAGGATCAGATGCCCCCAGTTCTAGTCTTTTTTCTTTTGTTTAGACTTGGCGTACAACTTGAGACATTGCCTTTTTCTGTGTCTACCATTGATCTAGTCGTGCTTACATGAACATATTTATGTTCTCCAAAATTTATGTGGTGTGCCTTAATCGGCAGCGTCTCGTCTCAGCCGTCAGTGAGCATGTACCATTTCGGGGACTTAGACCAACACTCTGCAAGCTTTCAGTATTAAAAAGAACCCTCTCTGCCTTGTGTCTCAGGAAGTAAGTCAGTTCATACCTGCTGTGTGGTTCTGCCTGTAGCCTTTAGCCATGACACATTCCCCGACTCTCCTACCTGCTGAGAAGTTCACATTGTACTTATCGAGCTTTACATTAAGACATGAAATATTTTTTAATAGTTCCTAGATGGGGCTGGGTATCTAGCTTTGTTGATCAGGGCTTGTATACCATGCAAGACACCCTGGGTTTGATTCCTTGCTCAGTGTAGATTGCATGTGGTGTTGCGCACCTATAATTCCAGGATTGAGGAGGGAGAGACTGCCTAAGCTACCTAGTGAGTTTGAGGCCGACTTGGGATACACGAAAACTTTTGTTCTAAAGCAAAGGTTTGTATGCAGAAATAATTTTATTTTATTATCTTTGCACTACTTAAGTTTGAGGCTTTGCTTAATGAGAGCTTTATGTCATATCTAGAAAGATACTGATTGAAGTTTGCGGTGCACTTTCTTTGGGAAATGAAACAAAGCGCTGTCTTCTCTTTAGTTATTAGTGTCTTCAGTTGTCTGACTTCCTGACTGTAGTGCTTTGTTAAAACATGAGGGGGGGAGATGGGAACGGGAAATGGAGGAAAAGTGAGGTGCTTGTTTTTGTTTCTTTAAGGAAAAAATGAATCGATGTATATCCAGGTTTTCTTAAATGCCAGGCCCTGCCATTTCTGTCTGTGCTGAGGACTTGCTTGAGAAGTGGGTTTGTCTCTTCCAGCACAGAGGCCAAGAGTGAAGGGAAACCAACTGGCTTTGATGTTAAATGCCAAGGAGAAGTTGGGGATCAAGAGCAAATTTGCAGTGGAGATCAACACAAGCTAAGGTTTTTGTTGTTTCAAAACCCTCTTACTTTTCTTCATGTGGGTTATAAAGTAAACGTCATTGTCTCGGTTGGGAATTGTAGTGCCTTGGCTCACAGCTCTCCCAGAAATTAGGGTGCTTTAGTTTACTAACGGATCTCAGAGGTCTTGACTTATTTAGGATTTTATTTTTGTCATCTCTGGTGAGAAAACTACTTACTATCGCTCAACTAGGTATCGAGTAATGACTGTAGAATCTCTGTGTTTAGGAAATAGTAGGTACTTCTGCACATGAACAGGGATTCACGGTACAGGATTCCCCCAGGATGTTAAGCCAATTCAGGGCCAAAGGAAAATGAGGCTGAAAATGGTGAAGAGGTGGCCAACATCCTTAATACATTTCCTCTCAAACTGTAAGGATTCCTGGGTGTGATTTTTCCCTCTTTGCCATTCATTAGAATGGTGATCATCCAAAGCCCTGACTTAAGGTTGAATCTTGTTTTCAGGTTGTTTCTCATGGTTATAGACAGAAGTTTCTATCCTGCCTGGTCCTGCAGCCATTCAATCCCTCCAAAACATACAGAAGCTTATATTAATAATAAACTGCTTGGTCTATTAGCTCAGGCTTATTATTAACTAGCTCTTANAAGCTTATATTAATAATAAACTGCTTGGTCTATTAGCTCAGGCTTATTATTAACTAGCTCTTGCAATTTAAATTAACCCATACTTCTTATCTATGTTTAACAAGGTATCTTGGTACCTTTCCTCAGTGAGGCATTCTCATCTTGCTTCTGGCTGGCCACTGCATCTCTGCCTTTCCTCTTCCTAGAATCTGGTTGCCCTACCTATACTTCCTGTCTGGCTACTGGTGAAGCAGTGGTTTATTAAACCAACACGAGTGCTAAATCTTTACAGTGTACAAGAGCATTATTCCACAGCACATGGTCAATTTTGAAATCCTTATAGTTGATTTCGTCTTATCACCCCCCACCCCTCCATTCCTTGCTTTTGCCAGGACTCGGACACCAACTGCAGCATTGCTGCTGTGTGCTGTCTTACCTGCAGCCGCCCC